GGCAGGAGGCGGTGCTGGAACCCCCGCGGTTGCTATAAGCCGGAGCAGCGGTTTGCTGTGAGGGCCGCTCGAGGCTGCTTGTAGCTTTAATATTATTTATAATCTTTTGGTATTTTGTTTTTAGCTTCTTACCCAATATGGATTCTTTTAAAATAGCATCTTTGAATCTTAACAGGGAAAGGGAGCCTGAAAAACGGGCTTTAATTTATCAAACACTGAACCAAAAGAAAATTGATGTCATTTATTTACAAGAAACTCACAGTGATCATTTAATAGAAACAGACTGGGGCAGAGAGTGGAGGGGGGGAGGTCATTTTTAAGTCACAGCACCTCCCAGAGCGCAGGGGTGGGCTTCCTCTTTTCTAGAGCTTTCACTCCAAACTCTACAGAAGTTGAACATGTCATTCAGGGGAGGTGTCTTTTAGTCAAGATCATTTTAGTATTGTTTTTATCAATATTTATGCTCCTATCACCAATGCAGAGAAAAAGCGTTTTTTTGAGAAAATTGTCTGTAGGTCTGAGGATTATGTTTTTATAGGTGGGGATTTTAACTGTACTGAAAATGAGTTTTTCGGCCGTAATCATGCAGAGCCGCATCCAGCAGCCCAACATGCTCTGCGGCAGCTGGTCTCGTCAGTGGAGGAGGATGCACGCAGGCTCCAGGCAGTATACATGGTCCCACATTAAAGAAAACCGAATCTCTTTAGCTTGTCTTGATCATTTGTATCGTTTTAAACACCATTTTAACGTGTTTAATACATGCCAGATTTTACTGGTGGCTTTTACAGATCACTTTTAGGTAGTGTTTTTATTAGAAACATTTTACCTAGAAGCGCTTACTGACATTTTAACTCAGCCTTAACTTATGATCAGGGTTTCAAAGAGATTTTAAGTTATTTTTGGACTGGTTTTAGACAAAGAAACTCTGATTTTACTTGTCTTAAACAGTGGTGGGACTATGGAAAAGTACAGATAAAACTGCTGAGTCAGCAGCACATTCTCAATAACACTCGTGACATTACCAGATCTATCAGAGATCTCGAGATGAACATCATGGAATTAGAACGACTTAGTGAGTCCACAGGAAATCGAGATCCTATTGACGCTCTCAAATCTAAAAGGCTAACTTTAGCAAACCTGCTGGAAAATAAAGTCCAAGTCGTATTGGTCAGGTCCTGGATCCAGAACATCACAGAGATGGATGCTCCCTCTGGCTTTTTCTTCAGCTTGGAGAGGAAGCACGGACAGAGGAAGCTGATCCATTCTTTGCTGTCGGACACAGGGCAGCAACTGAGTGAACCAGGGCAGATCAGGAGGAGGGCTGTTTAGTTTTACCATTCTCTGTTCAACAGTGAATACAAGGAGAACGAGGAACTGTTCCGGGAGTTCTGCGATGAACTACCCCAGGTCTCCGAGGAGACCAACTTTAAGCTGGAGCGCCCTCTGGGCCTTCAGGAACTCCACGCAGCTCTTCTCAGCATGCAGGTCCAGAAGTCCCCAGGCGTTGACGGGCTCACGGTCGAGTTCTACAAGGCCTACTGGGACATTCTGGCCAAAGGCCTGCTCGATGTCTACAACGAGAGTCTGCACACTGGTTCACTCCCCTTGTCTTGCCGCAGGGCAGTCATCACCCTGCTGCCCAAAAAGGATAACTTGCAGGACATTAAGAACTGGCCCTCTGTGTCCCTCCTCTGCACCGATTACAAGATCCTCTCCAAGGCTCTGGCATTGAGGCTGGGAAGGGCTGTGGAGCAGGTCATCCACTGAGATCAGACCTATTGCATCCCCAGCAGGTCCATGGTAGATAACATCTAGGGGGGTTGGGTTCAGCGAGGGTCTTATTGCCAAGATCCAGGTACTGTACAGTGACATTGAGAGTGTGCTGAAGATCAACGGCAGCCTGTGTGCTCCTTTTAGGGTGTGTAGAGGCATTCAACAGGGCTGTGCGCTCAGGGATGCTCTACGGACTCTCCCTGGAACCCCTCCTCCAGAAAATACCCTCGAGTGTTTATTGTCTGGCTGCACTCACAAATGTCCTACTGGGGTAGAGTGCTGGTTTTAAACAACTTTGTAGCATCACAGCTGTGGCACAAACTCTCTGTTTTAGACCCACCACGTGGCCAGTCAGAGATGGTAAATTTTGTCTGGAACGGTCTACATTGGGTGGCACAGTCTGTGTTGTTTTTACCAAGAGAGGAGGGGGACAAGGGCCTTTTCCACCTGGCCAGTAGAACAACTACATTCTGTTTGCAGTTCCTTGAGAAATACTTGACAGGATCTCCTGTGTAGAGGGATGTGGCCAGCTGTATCCTCATACATGTTAATTTTCTGAGGCTGGATGCTGCTCTGTTTTTAACCGATTTTAGTCTTTTAAAGTTAAAGGGGTTGCCTCAGTTTTATTAGGGTGTTTTTAAATCCTGTGGCCTTTTTAAACTTTGTCGTTCACAGGCGCATAACTCTATGCATTGGCTCTTCTAAAGAAGAGTCTGTGGGTCCAGACTGGACGTGTGTGGTGGCACCATACCAGGACTGTTGGAGGCGCCGTGTCGGTCCAAGACGACAACCGTGAAACATCTGGTGGAGGCAGCTGGACCGGACTTGTCTAACGCCCAGGCCGTTGCATCTCTGCTGGGGGTCCAGTCCACTAGACTTGTGCAGCGTTTCCTGGACCGTTTGAAGGAGAGGATGATGGCCGGAGAGAGGCGTCTCCTGCAGCTCCTCCATGAAAAAAAGGCTTCGCCGGACCTGACAGACCCGGTCCCTGATGTGACCCTGAACACCGGCCTCACAAAGAACAGCGGTCCCCTGCTAGCCAGCAAAGACTCACAGATCAGCCTCCAGAGTACGGGCCCAAAAGTACTCTACAAAAACTGTCAAAGTCCTGAATGAAAGAACTCTACAGAACAGACCAGTGAGCTTGTGGGCGGATCGTCTGAGAGGACAAACTTCTCAGTGGAGGACGCTCTACAAATTTCCCATAAAAAAAACGGACTGGTGATCTGCAATGGAGGATTTTACATGGTGCCATTGCTACCAATTCGTTTTTATCGGTTTTTAGTCCAAGGGTTTTAAATGAGTGTCTTTTCAGTGGCCTGTCTGAGAGTGTTTTTCATGTTTTTATTGATTGTAGGAGACTGACATTTTTTAGTTTATTGATGAGTGTTTTTAGCTGTTTTGGCATTGTTTTTACCAGTTCTATATTTATTTATGGACTGTGTTCTAACAAAGCCAACAAGCCAAAGTGCCAGATTTTAAATTTCTTAATTGCAGAAGCCAAAATGGCTATTTTATTTATCTTGAAAAGACAGATTCCAGGCTGGACCTCATCTTGATGCCTTGGCTCTGTGGAAGTGCAATGTCAAGGCCAGGCAGACGCTGGAGTTTTGCTTCCACAGAGCCACTGGGAACCCCTGCAGCTATGGGGTTTTAATGAGATTCTGTGCAATATATCAACTCAGGGAAAACTGTTATTTAACAAGCACCTTATTTAATTATTTTTTAAGCTTGTCCTGATGTGAATATCTTGTGTTTTTAATTGTATTCTATGCACTTTCTTATTGTAAATAAATGGCTTAGATTATCTTACACAAGAGCCTACATTAGAAATGTTTACACAGGTGGTAAAGACTAATTCTTTCACTCCTTCAAAAGTAAGATATCTCCCAAATCTTCTGTTTTTGTTTTGAAGATTTCCTAAAGACACGATGTGAGGAAGAAGTGTGAAATATCTTTTAAAGAGAGACGGATTCACTGCACAGCATGGATGAATCTCGCATCGGATTTTGGTCTCAATCGCAGATGCTGAAACACTCTTCAACTAGAAATAATATATATAGGTTATGCATGTTTATATGTATACATACATATAAACATGCATCTAATTATTTAGTAATCATTATTTGTCTTTGTACATTTATATAAATATGTATGATATTACTAAATTTAAATAAATTATGAACCGCTGTGTGCTTTGTAAAATGCTCATCATACATCAATATTACATCAATATTCTATTCCTATTCTATTGTTTTCCCCACTAAGCATATTTAAATATGCTGAACTATGTATCAATACAATTAAAATACTTTAAAAATACATTGATTTTTAAATGTAGCTTTGATAGCAGTGTGTATAATGTTTCCAGTAACAAAAAAAGCGTGTAATAATCGATTAAATGTGCAGATACATCATTGTGCCTGCCAAACGTATAACGCAGAGTGGAGTGGTCGACCGCTCCAAGATGGCCGCCCTAAATCTCGTGAGCGACAATAGGCGAGGGTGGTCCATGAGGCGTCTATTCTTATATTTCTATGTTGTAATTACACCTAACAGAAATTAATTTAACCATAGAATGTCATGACTATGTGTGTAGGGCTGCACCAATTTCAGTTTTCTGGTCAGTCGGCGATTACTGATCTTTAAAAAGCTTTACCTGTCAATTTAGATTTTTGTCGATACTATTTTTTTTTTGTCTAAAATGTGTAGCAAGAAAGTCGCTAAGTTGGCAACAGTGGGGTGAATATTGTTAAATGAAACTGTGCAGACATGACCTGGTGGGCCGATCTGTTAGTCAAACTTCTGACTGCAGAGCAGAAGAGGACAGATGCTCATTTATAAACCTTTGCAGAAGATCGGCTTCACATGTATCAGCCGATCATCCATTCCCCAAAGTTAAGAAAATCGGCGCCAATAAATGGGCCAATACATGGGCCAACACATGTGTGTTGTGTAAGTCCAATTCAATTAACTCCATTTTTAACCTATGTATACGTGCATATATAATGTAGACATCACTGTCAGAGATGCAATAAGTTTAGCAGATTTTTGAATGATCTAATAATGTGACTGTTGATTGCAGCCAGTCCACAATATTAGCAAAACTAAAGGTCCCAAAACTAAATTTCGCTTAGAGCCCTATGAAGGTTTGGGCTGGCCCTAACTCTATGTAATCGCTGCACGTCTTGGACCACTTTGTGGTTAATCTGCAACATTTCCAGTTTTCTGAAGCTTGCAAATAAGTTTTGCCACAGTGTTGTGTGTGATGCTCGTTCCATGTTTTCTGTTAAAGTTTCGTGCAACCATGTGACTGCTTCCTGATCCAGCCATCAGTATAATTTAAATTCTTTGCTCTTTTGTCAAACGCATCTTCTTTGGGTATCTGAAATATAAAGAAATATACATTTTACATTCTCCTCTGTATGGAAACTTGTGGCCCATTGTTCCTATTTATGTCCAAAGATAACTTCAGTTTTGTTTCTGTTCAGCTGGAGAAAGTTTTGGCACATCCACACATGTATCTGTTCTAAGCATCTGTTTAAGAACAGATACATGATGTCACCAGTTTCAGTCACCTGGTGACATCATAATGTAGAGCTGTGAAAACTAATCTAATTATTTGTTACAAAATTTCACATCTTTCTCATATAATATCTCTTATCTAATTGTCTCTGTCCTGATAATGCTCAGAATTCTAACACTTTTTTGGAGTTTACTTTATTCAACATTAGTCAGGCAGCAGTTCTGCTGCTCTTCTCATCCAGGTTTGACCTGGAAGCTTTTGTTTATGTAGTCAATTTATAATATTCACATTAGTCAATGTTACCCTAATTAAAACCTTATTTTCTTTTACAGTGTGTTGAAGCCAAGAAGTTTTGCTGGTATTTTGAGGAACGATATCCTGCATATTTTGTGTAAGTCCAATTCATTTAACTCCATTTTTAACCTTCACAATTATCTGCATATTAAAACAGGCATTGTCACATAAAATGAATTATAATAACTTGGAAAGTTCTTTCATTTAATTCTTTAAATGAAAAAGTACAGGGAAACCTTTTTATTAATTAATTGCACACATAGTGATGTAGTTCAATCATTTCTTTCTCTTTATTATGGTGGATTTCTGACAACCCAGAAAAAATGTTTCTCCAAAAATGTGTGCATTTTATATGAATAAGATGGAATTTTAGATGTGTACATATAATGTACTTATACATAGACACCAATAAAGTTTGACAAATCAGTTTTGAATCTATTTATCAGTTCCTCCATTGATATTGTAAAAATTTTGAGTAGCAAAACAGCACTCACAAAATGGCGTCAGATGTTAACCTGCTTTTAGATGGAGGAAACAGAAACCAAGGCATTAAGAGAAGCCTGTTGACTTTATCTGGATGAGCCGTGAAATCACATCTGCGTGCATCAGGATCAATTTCGCAAGACATCGACAACTGTAGACCTGTTGCCTTGACAACCCACATCATACAGGTCCTGCATCTGTTCAGTGATTGGACATGTGCAATACCTGATAACAAGCACATATCAGGTACAATTCAGAAAATTAATCAGTTTGCTTATGAACTTCTCTCCGATATGCAAGAGTTTAATAACAAAATAATTCAACCTGAGAGTTAAATACTTTAATCAACAAACTCCCTAAGCTATTAACTAAACTAAACCAGAGAGAAAAACATGCAAGAATGATGAAAACTAAACTAACAGTAAACAGTAAATAATTCCAATAATAGTCAATGAACAAGAATATTTGTGCCTGAGTCTCACTTGTCAGATTAAAAGTACGTTTTGAATATAATAAAATTTAAGCATTCCTTCCTGCTTTAAAAATTCCTTTCATTAAGCCCACATTCTTAAAAACACATTCTTAAAAACACATTCTGTTTTTAAGAATTGTTGTCATATGCTAATTTTGAATGTCATATTTCCATTATCTGTAAGTGGAAAATCGTCATAATTTTAAAAAGGCGAGGCTTTCAAATATCCATCTGTTTGTAGTTAATGTATATAATGTTTTTCACTTAGTAATAAGGCTCCTAAAATAAATTAATTGATTGGGTCTGATGAAATATTACAGTTTAGTATAAACTGTGAATGTTGAGAAATCAGATTTATTAAGGAAGTATTTGTAAATGAAACTAATATTTACACTAATTTAGATCAGATGAACCAGAAATCAATAACCTCTTGGACAATTGATTCTTCGTCTATTGATCAATCACTGCAGTGATAGATCTAATTTAGTATTTTCAAAACCAAAATGGAGGCTTAAACAGACAAGTTCTGCTGTTTTAAGCAATCTATTTAAAGCAACCAAAACACTGTAAAAACCTTAATTAATTGTTTATGAGCAACAGCGTTTCCCACTGTTGGCTGCATGAGCAGGAAGAAGCCATGTTTGGGATGCAGGAGCTAGCAGAAAGGATAAAAACTTCAGCAACACTTGCTTTAGGAGAAGGCTCTATCACCAGAGTAATTAGAAAACACCACACACTTTGTGTTTAAATAAGGTATTATTCAGAAAATGAATCAAATGAACCAATCACACACTCAAACAGGATGAGTGTATGACCAAATGTATGTGGGAAATATACATGTGGTCATATTTCCCACATGTATTGTGTAAAAGAAACATCTCCAGTAGAGACTGTAACGATCATAGGTGCAAATATTTCCTCCCTTCTGAAGCTGTTGTTTCTCATCCTAAAACTAGTTTGAGATTCCAGAGACTTGGAAGTCTGAGATATACTGTCTTTTATTCATCATGTATCCTGCTTTCTGTCATATGCAAACAAGTTGTCATATGCAACTTATTTTTAATGCTGCTCTTCATAAACCAATCCATTGGCCTGAGTTCTGAATATTTGGTTTCCAGGCTACTGCTCATGCGGTTTAAAAGGAAATGTAAGCTTTTGTTTGCAATGCACAAAGTGTGATTAATGCCAGCATTAAAATACACTTGTATGTCTGATGCCTGTGATGCCTGGCATCAGACACAGATGCCTGTGCCACTTAGTGTGATGCCTGTGAGGAAATATCAGAGGCATTAAAATCATGTGGACAGGAAGTTGTAATTTGCAACTGTTTCTGTTATGTCTCTCTAGCTCTCGGTGAAGGCAGATGCTTTTTTCCTCTGCTCCCTACTCTGACCCGTCTGACCCTGCTTGCTGTTTTTGGGCACCATACTTCATAGAATCAAACATGGAGAATCAACATTTATCTTATGCCTCTCTTTTTATCTTTTTTTCTCTTTCCTTTGGTTTGTTATTTTGTTTGCATTTCCTTCTAATTCATGTAAAGCACTTTGAATTGCCTTGTTACTGAAAATGTGCTATATGTCTTATCCTACTTTACTTGATGTAGAGCAACTACAGGGAATGAGTTTTGTCTGCATCAATTATTTACTGACACACATTGATGGTTACAGAATAGCAAGTAGCTAATCTGCCAACATTCCCCTGAACGTTGCAGGTTTCTTGCTACAGTCACCAGACTCAAAGTGAATAAAGTTCCAGCACCTGACAGCAATGGAACAAGAAACTGAAAGAAGCTCTTCTCTCAGTTTCTTGTTCCACTCTCACAGCTGAGTCAGCACTTCTCTCAGTTGCAGGGAGAAGGGAAGGGGAGGGAAGCAACAAGCAGCTTACAGTACCCAGTACCCACATTGTTTATCAATGTGGAGCATCATCCATCTGCTGCAACAAACCCATTGTCATCTGAACAAAGCAGGGATGTTTAGTTATTATCTTATAATGCGTACAACAAGAGAGACAACAAGAGAGGCACTAAAACATACCACATGAAACATTGTTTTTGTAAATCATAAACAAAAATGTCAGCAATGCTCAAGCTTTATCTTCAACAGTTAATAGGCTCACAATCCCTCCTCTGACTGTTCCACCTGAACTCCACTCTGACCGTCTGCAGAACCAGAACCAAACATGAAGAAACAGCATTCAGCTTCTATGCACCACAAATCTGGAGCAAACGTCCAGAAAATTGCATAACAGCTGAAACCCTGAGTTCATTTAAATCTAGACTAAAAATCCACATTGCTTTTGAGTTGCTTTTGAAACATAATAAATGGAACATTGACCAATTGATGATTTTAATGGTGACACTCATCAAAATGTAATATTTGTTTTAAGTTTTCTCAATTATTGATTGCATGGTGATTTAGTATTTTTGTGTTTTTATGATGTAAAGCACTTCAAACTGCCTTGTTGCTGAAATGTGCTGTACAAATACACTGGAATGATTGATTTAATTTCTCTTTGTGATTAATAAATTATTTTGGAATTTAATCTAATTAAAATGAATATAACAGACCAGACTTTGCATTGCCCTTTAGCATATTCTTCTATCAATGACCTGTTGGTCTGTCTGCCTGTTTTCTCGCAGATGTCGCTCCTATGAGGACTGCTGTGGAACTCGCTGTTGTGTCAGAGCCTTATCCATTCAGAGATTATGGTACTTCTGGTGAGTTCCCCTAATCTACTTCTGCTTTACACCTAAACTAATCTTAAAATATTCAAGCTAGCAGATTTTTAAAGTCTCGGTAAAATGCCTGGTGTTATTTGTTCAAGATCCACTACAGCCTACACTACAGTCTAAAATAAAGGCATGAGCCTTTAGCCTAACAGACTCTCTGAAGCAGGAGGAGCAGCTTCTCTTTAATTTTGATTTTTGATATTTTTTGCATTTTAGTACTTATTGTATAAACCAGGGGTCCCCAAACTTTTTCCTGTGAGGGTCACATAAATTTTCCCTACTCTGGTGGGGGGCCGGAGTCAGTTTGTAACAGAAAAAGTGTGACGATTGCAGGAATGCCTAAATGTAAAAATGTATTGTTTTCCAGAAAGCACAATCAAATAACCCTCTCTGGGTTCTTCACAGAACAAAAGTCAGGAAATAAATAATAACACTATTAATGAAATAAATAATAATCAAATAACCCTCTCTGGGTTCTTCACAGAAAAAATCCAGGAAATAACACTATTTATGAAATAAATACTGTATTTTCCGGACTATGAGCCACAACCCCAGAGTTTATTTATAACTCTGGGGTTATTTTCCGGACTATAACCCGCGGATATCTCTGCTGCTCCAGGTTTTCCACAATGATGCAGCAGAGGAGGGCGGACACCCAATATTTGAGTCATAACAAGTCAATTGAATATCACATTTATTATGGTTGAAAAAAAAAGTTGCCAAGTTTAGATTTAACTGAACTGATTACGGTAGTTTCCGAACGGTAACTGTAACAGTAAAAGTGCTGATCCTTCATGTCCTAGCATGTGCCCATTTTCATTTAGCACATGCTAGTTGCTACTAGCATGCTGTACTAGCATGTGCTAAATGAAAATGGGCGTGTTCTTCTTCTTCTTTAGATTCCAACGGCAGCTTGCATCCGTTATTGTTGCATTACTGCCATCTATTGGATCCTAATATCTATACCTCAAATTCTCATAATGATCCCAGTATTATTTAAAAAAAAAAAAAATCTTCCTTTTCCCCTCAGTGCTATTTAACTGATCAACAACATCCTCAAAATTTCAATTCCCTATTAAAACCTTATTCCATTTTAATGGGCGCTTTCTTCTTTTATTTCCAATTTTGACTTCCAATGATTCACTTTCTGCTAAAGAGCCCCCTGGTGGTTGAAGAAAAATCCACATATAAGCAGCACAGGACTATAAGCCGCATGGTTCAAAGCTTAGGAAAAAACTAGCGGCTCATAGTCAAGAAAATACAGTATATGAAAAAAAATCTAAATGCTCTCTAAGTCAGTCTATAAGCTTTAGGGTTCCATGTTTTGCTCCAGGAAAAATTAAAGGTGTGACGTGTTGGAGGATGTTGTTCTGTTGTCTTCACACCAGGCAGCCAAATGGTGGCGCTGCAGATGATAAGATTAGAAGATAAGATGGGCTTCACGTCTAAGTGTCGGCCAATCACGATCCCCCAAAATTAAGGAAATCGGTGCCGAGAAATCAACTGGCCGACAAATTACTTGGCCAGTAAATGTTTATAATGTAAACAGCACTGCCAGAGATGCAATAAGTTTATAGCAGGAGTGTGAATGATCTACTGGTCCACATTGTTAGCAGAATTAAACCAAAATTTTGCTTAGGGCCCTATGGCCCTAAGCAAAATTAGGGCCATCTGTTGATAGGAGGTCTGTTGATTGACGTGATTCCAGTAAATAAATTGTGTGGTTTCTCTCTCAGCAGAGGTATTTTAAAAACAGTATTGCAGGGTTTTCCCCAGAAAACTTACTAAGCCAGGTGGTCGGGGTGCCGAGACAGTCCACCGGTGGTCCACTGTGTTTTTGTATCAAAAGATGTGAAGGTGACAGGAAATGTAAAAGTATTACTGTGTAATTAGATGTTACGGGAAAAGATCTCCTGTGAAATGCTATTTAAACCCACAACTAGTCTAAAAACAACAAATTTGAACTTCTGTTTAATCCAAATTAAGTCAGCGGCTCTATCAGGCTCCCAAGGGCTTCAGGGGCCCCATAAATGCTAATATTTTAAAACAGACCACAGATACATAAATTTAACACTTGAGATGATCAATGTTGTTAAATTGTATTAAATTGTTTAGGCATACATAAATTAAATGATTTTAAATTGTTTAACAAGATTTTAAGGAGTTGGCAAGTTTACTTTGTAAAACTTCAAAGAACAATATTCATAGTTAGATTGTTT